TTCGGAAACAAAAATCGTTCACATGTGTGCACATACCCTAAGGGCAGGTTTCTCCAAATCAACTTAACTCAGTTTAGCAATCTTGTGGACTTATTCATTTTCACCATCTAGGCTAGGCCAAAAATTAGCCTATATTTTAATCAGCTTATTCTTATTCTAAGTCCAAAAAATGGCTAAAATAAGTTAAGTTGAGTTGGAGAAACCAGCCCTAAGAGTAACTAAATAGTTTGTCTAGTCCTCCTCTGACAGCTTGCCAGTGGTGAAGCAACTGTCGCGTCCAGCTGTGATGTACCTAAGAATCCCGGAGAAAGCTTGGTGTTAATAAATTTATAATCTGCGTCTATTAAAATCGAACAAACGTATGTACATGGCGTATGAGTTACTCAGACGAGATGAGAATGTTACTCATACGCCATGTACATACGTACGTTCAAATCTAACTTTTCAGTCAAAAATGATAGATCTAATATGCATCGGGCATTTTGAATTTTTAAAATTTGATTTCAGGCTCATAGTCAGTGACCTCAAGAACCCAAGAACCCGCGATTGTAATGTGTTAAGCGACTCTAATCGATTTTAATTTTTTGGCTACTATGTATCTATATTGGGTCAGCCAATTTGACTCGAGATTCGTAATTAACCACCATAAAACCCGCGGGGAAAACATTTCATGCGAATGTGATATATATTTATTTTTTTTGGCCGCCATTTTGAATTTTTAAAATCAGGCCTCGGATTCGTAATCAAAAATCCTAAAAATATAAAAAAAGCCCTTGTTAGTTTTTTAAATGTTGGTTTCTCTAGAGACTCAAAATTTGTAAGCAAAACTCTAATTTACAGTTAATTTAGACGCCTAACGGCATTTAAAAATGGACACTTAACACTAATTTCTGCAAAAGGTGTCGAATTATTTCACTTTTCTTCACACAGGTGATTCCTTGTGACACAAATACACACCCCGTTCTCCCAGACCGGGTTGCTTTTAATCAATTTTCTAGGTTACGTCTTTCAAGTCATTGAAAATATCTGCATGCATTTAGTTAAGGTAGACAATTTTCAACTTATTTTATTAAAAAAAAAAACACAAAGGTAACTCTTATGTTAGTCCTTTAACAAGATATATTTAAAATTGGACTCTTAGAAAAGCTCTGATAAACCGAGATAATTCCGCCAGACAAACGAAAAATTCATATGAAAAGGCGATCAAGAAATTTAAAAAAGTTTTCTTCTATCAAAATTGCTCGTTTATTAATTTCTCCAAGAAAATGTACAGCAAAAGCAAAGTCCCTTTTCAAGCAAAACGAAATAGTGAAAAATATTTCTTGCACTTAATCTTGAGAGCTGCAAACAGCCCTTTAAACAGAAATAACTGTTAGAAATTCGGTTTTATAATTCTACGAATTTAATATTGGACATACGACATGTGGTACTACGCAAAAACTTTATAAATTTCATTTAATTATTTAAAATTCAACTTTTTCTGCTTATCATACTTTTACTGGTTTATTTTTACCACCGTCATTATTCGTGCTCGTTTTCATTAAAAATATTGCCTTTGAAATACAACCCATTACGAGGGTGTACTCACCGCACTAGTATTTCCTATTCATTTTGCAGTGCGTCAGTGCGTCTACACTCAACCAGTCACTACTGTCCACAACGAACTAAGCGCAGATAAAGAGTTTAGTGAATGTACATATTTTAGCGAGTAAGCATGACTATCTGACTTCCATGAATTAATCTGCGCATAAATTCTATGCATGTCTACTACAGCCACATGCATACATACATATGTACATATTTCCCTCACTTAACCCCGTTGAATTTACGCGCTAAGCAATGGTTAGTTTCAACTAGTATATAATAACACTAACACAGCTTTTGTTGTCTGCTGACATGGTCTGTTGACGTGCTGACTTGCCAATGCTGCTTGGCCGGCCGCGCTTCTCACTTTCGCACACAGAATTTTCATACTCGTTCATTCTCCTTCATCTGCCATCTGCTGCTGCTAGCTTTTAAACTCAACTTTGCTGGTTCATAGCTCAACTGCCCCTCCATGCATTTCACGAATTAATTTTTCTTTTATGCGCACATTTTTACTTCTTCTTCTTCTTCTCTACTTGGTTCTGACGGACACTGACTCTTTGCTTTTATGTCTACTCATACGCCATGACAAGTGCGCGGCAGTCGACCTCTTCCCAATGGTGGACGACGACCAAACATTGTTTCACTATTATGTATAATTTTATCTGCTCGTGTATAATAACAATTTTACGCTTGCTGCTTCACAATTGCGCCAGCTATCGCTGATGAGTGCATGGACTCTGAATGTAAGTTGAATGGCGGCGACACAGTTATGTAGAAACAAATCTACTCAGCTACAATACCCAACCCAAGAGTCTGCATTAATTTGGCCTTCCCGTCTGCTGATATTCGCGATTTTCCTTTCTTACTTGTGTATCTGTGTATGCTTTGTGTAAATGTTAAATTTCACTTCAAGCACATCTCTTTCATTATTAGTCAATCCCTTGCTCCTCTCGCTCCATTACTCCTGCTTTGCTTGAAACTACAAGTTTTTTTGTGATTTTATTTTATTTCTTGCCTGTCATTCTGATTATTTCCACTCACGTTTTTGCTTTAATTTTAGCCTTCTCTACGTGATTTAGGTATCTCAATCTTATCAACGCGAGATTTTCCTTCAATCGCTTGCTACACGTTTTGTTGGCACCCCTTTAACCTTAAAATTCGTTTGCATATTTTCCAGTTCAATGATTACGTGTTGTGTTTGCTGAGCTTTTTGGCTGCTCTCCTCTCTCTCTGCTACTTTTACTCGATTTTTGCTAAGAATATTTCGGATTTGTTTATTTAAATTTATTAAAGATATTCACAACCTGGAAATGTAGTACTTGAGGGTTCTCGACGAGGCTAAATATCTTGGTATATCCTTTAATAAGAGGTCGGGTTTTAACAACCACTTAGACAAACCCTTTAGCACAGTCGCCTTTCCAGGTTTTGTGCTCAAAGTCATAAAAAAATCGTATACTTCAAACGTTTAAATATATGAACGTCAAAGTTTGGCTTTATTTTTGGTTACAGTATTATTGCCCCATATTTTTAATGAAGCAGAAATATAATAAATAAACAAGTTAGCAAGAAATTTCGATTTTGGATTGTTAGGGACCTAATTTAAGCAACAGTTTTGGCGGAGTTTGAACAGTTCGAAAATGGATCACGGAGTTGGAGCAGTCGTTTACTCTGAATACAAGAGATTAAGAAGATCAATTCATCTGCTTAATTTCGCAAGTGCGGTTTAAGTCAAGGCGAGTGCATAGCCATTCTTTTACAATAAGGTCGAAACGAAGCAAGGAGTATAGGAAGGACTCTTTAAACTAAGTATATGGTCAGCTTTGGGTATATAAATAGAGATATCTTTCCCCACAACCTTCTTAAATCGTATTCAAAGTGGGACACGGCGGCAGGCTGCCATATATCCAAACTCACGTGGCCCGTGTACAACCCAGATCGGACGGTGCAAGGTTAGTTGCGATTCCTACCGGGCGTTGGCGTTTAATTCCCAAGCGAGAAGGCTGGGCATCGCCTGCAACGACTTCTTTAGAACCTGCAGAGACAAAAACGAGAGGAAAATATTACAGCACCTTCTTTGCGGCTCTAAAGAGAAGCAGAAATATCATAATGGGAGCATATGGACAATTCCGTATATACTGGTTATGTAAACAGAAAAATTTTTGCTAAAAATTGTCCTGTATTTATGCTCTGATTTGTAGCGATGATGTCAAAATAAAAAGCGGTTGCCACTCGGCAGGCAATGACAAACCCCCGAGTGTATTTCTGCCATGAATAAGCTTCTCATAAAAATAAATTAGCCGCTCGGAGTCGGCATGAAACTGTAGGTGCCTTTGTAAGACAGCATCAAGGCGCACGCCACAAATCGCAGGAGAAGCTTGGCCAAACACTATCATATGTATAAGCCTAATTTATTATTATTAACAACACAAAAACGTTTTTAAATTGATAAAAAATATATAATTTGCTCCCAATATACCCAGCGGATGCCCCAAAAACCCATTTGGTCGCTATTTATGCATTCCACTTTAAGACTTACGCTGCTTACAACGTCTTATGAATCCCCTATATATGTTAGTTCGGACTATAAGCTATCTTTGTTGAAATACATCTAACCGTTTTAGCATGAAAGAGCAAAAAACATACCCAAAACACTCACTCAAAAACTTTCATATTTATAATATTATTTAGTAGGATTTATGTAGATTAAATGAGCGAAAATGTGATTTACATATCCTCATTAAATTTGATAACCAGAATTTTTTAATTAAAAAAAAAAAATATTCGCCAATAAATTCAATATTTATAAGTAAATATGTGCTGAGCAAAAATTGCAAAACTGTGTTGAATTCAAGTGGCAAAAGAAATAAGCAAAACAGAAACACAATCGATAAGAGCTAGCAGAAGACTTCAGCGAGATGTAAGGCTGAGATATGAAGAAGACTGGAGGCAAGTAAGTGTTTTATCACAAAATGTGTGAAATTAGTATCAAATATTGCAAATTAATAAAAAAAACATTAACATCTAACAACAACTTTAAAAATAAAATGTGAGAATGCAAACTGCATTAAAAAAAAAAAACGAAAACGAAGTTAATGGAAGTACAAAAAATGTACACAAATGATAAGAAAACAGTTTGCGGCGCTGTATTTATTTGTATGTATTCAAGTATACATGTGTAGCATACTTTTTATATCTTTGCCACCAATAACATTTTTATAAAATTTGAAATGTTTTGCGTTTTAAATACGAAGACTATACTAGATACTCATTGGTATAAAAGCTCGCCAACTCAGTTCACATGGCGCATTCCAAATAAAATATTTTACTAGCAACTACGCTATCTCCTATTTTATAGATAGTTGTTGGTTTTTACATAAGCTTTATACACAGATGAAAGTAGAATCGTTGGCATAATGAAATTTCGCGTATTTCTCTTTGTGCTCGCTGCGCTAGTTGCAGCTGCCAGCATCAATGCCGCCAACATAGCTGTAGAGGAGGGTATCGTATGTCCCCGAAACCAGTCCGACAATTCTTTTGTGGTGCAAATACCATCGCCTAGCAACTGTGGCATATTCTACAAGTGCGATCGCGGACAACCAAGAGTGAATAAATGTCCGGAGGGCTTGCATTACAGCAAGCGTTTAATGGTGAGTAAAGAACGGGCGAATGTTGAATGTTGGCTTTGTATGAATTTGTAGGCATCTCTGTAGGCTACCCACTTTAAAAGAGTAATTAAAACTCAAAATGAAGTTTAAATTTGTTTGATTTTTTTCTTTTTCAGGCCTGTGATTTCCCATCTCGAGCCAAGTGCTCCTTAGAGCTGGCAGAGTAATAAGTCGAACATAGAAAATCATTGAAAAATAAAAAAAATACAATATTATTTTTATTGTAAATATTGTAAATATTGTAAAAGTAAAACTAAATTCATAGTTGTATTTAAGTAGAGAAAAAAATATATAATTAACTCCAAAACTAAATATTTTCTAACCCAAGGATTTTTCGCTACTATTTCACAAATAAATTACTCTAATCAATTAATTAAATTTACGCTTGCTTGGCCATATTGTATGCATAGATAACGACGCCGCAGTGAAAATACCCATTGGCGGATAACGAAAGCAAAGGCGCCCGCAAAGGCGCCCGCAAAGGTGCAAATTCGCAAAGGAGAGAGGCGGTTGGCGAAGTTTTTTGATCGCTGCCCAAGCCGACAAATAGTGGTTGTGCCAAATAGGAAGAAGAAGGATCCATTACTTAACAAATAAAAACTCCACTTACTCATCTCCAAAAACATTTCAATTAAGTTAATTAAAATTTGCATTCACCTTTTCATCATCACCCATTCACTTCTCCTTTATCAATCTCCACTCTCAAAAAATTTCGCTTTAATTTCAACTTTGATGTACTTTTGAGGTGTTAAGCGCAAGCAAATCAGAAAGTTGCAAAGTGTTTTGTTATTTGACAAATGCACAGTTTCGCACGATGCCGCCTACAGCTGAAGCAGTCATTACTGCAGTTTATTATGTGGTAGTCAGTTTTGTTTCTCATTTCTTTACAAGCACCTTGCAGCCGGTGAGTTTTAAATTTATCACCTGCCCATTTTGACCCTTGACGGAAAATAGATTTTCCGTTCAGTTTTAATTCACGTCTGCCTTCGTCAATTTGAACCCACATAGTCTTTTACACTCAAATCCTTCTCTCTCATCCACTCATCCGCACACAAGTTTTCCTTTGTCTACACAATTTTGGCTTTTAGTTTCCAGTTTCCTTTTTCTTAACGGTCTTATCGCTTTGCATAATTAAAATATTTTACCTCTATCAGAATTGTTTCAAAGAAACTATTGCAAGCTAACTATTTGTATAAGTTTAACGTTTCGAAATTCGTTGATAAATTGTTGAGTATTGAGCTTAAAGTTCAAACTTTTAAAACTCAATAAAAGCTTTTATGCAGTTATAAAAGCAGAATGGTTGAAATGACGTGCAAGGGTTGCATTGATTAAGTACGAGTATAAGAAAGGAATGAGTTGTTTAAGTGTGTGTGTGAGTTGTTTAAGTGTGTATGTGTGCTGACAGTCATACTTGGTAGTCCAACTTGTTAATCGATAGATTAAGTGCTGATGATTTTAATCAAGAGAGTGAGTAGATAGTTTAAAACTTTCTTATCCAATTTGTTCCAACAGCTTGTTAAAGTGGGAGGTATTTAGTACTACATACAAACATCAGGGATGTTAATTTTGGCAAAGCATGAAAAAAAAACAGAAAATTTGGAATGTTTAATTAATTTCTTAGAAACTATTAGGCCTATCGAAAAGTGATATATACATGGTTTATAGAGAATTTTGTTGGCTTTCTTTTGCCTTATTCGGCATAAGGCTGTTCCATTGATTCGTAAGATATAAGTGATTAAGTGGAAACATTTTTTTACGAGTGAGGAGCGCTAGTCTGCTGTCAGGGTGTATGCAGATGTTTTTGTTGGTCGCCTCACTTTCTACATAGATACTGCACGGCTATGGTTCAAAGGTCTACACCTCGATCTGAACGACAGAGCTCATTGGCCTCATGCAGATGAAAAGGGGCCTTCTGGATTGTATGCCGTAGAGTCCGGCTCTGACGCCGTGGTCAGTCTAGACCACTAAATATTTATTGCTTCCCACCGGGATTTTTGGTCGTTCGTTGTCCCAGCTCGTACCATTGGGGAAGAATTCTTAAAAATTTTGAGTGAAGCTAAATCTCGATAGGCACAGATTTATATCATTCATGCAGGATATATCGACTGCTGAGTGGAAGATCGACCTATCTCGGTAGCCAGTTCCGAAAACGCCCTACCTCAGAAAACTTTTCAAGAACGCCCTATTACGGAATTTGGTTGAAGAAGGCTCTATTTCAGAATTCGTTTCAAAAATGCCCTAGCTCATCACATTTTCAGTACATTTTGACAGTCACCGACTTTTATTTTTTAAATCATTCGTATAAGAGTCATTAAAATTTTTCGTAGTTAAGAGGGTGTTGGGAAACAAAAGTTTACTACGACTTATACAAATGTCTTTTATAAGTACGATTTAAAAAACAAAGGTCAATGACTGATTTTTGTTTATGACTTTTATAAATAAAAGTCTTCTTTAACTGTTATCTAAGATATATAATTTTAAAACCAAAAATAATTGTTATTTGCAGTTTATTTAGATAAAAATAAAAAATAAATGTTTTTTTTTTTGGATTTATCAAATAAAAGCCACAAATTACGGTTATTTAAGGAGTAATTAGATTTTACTAACATTTTAATTATAACTCAGCGAGAAAATAATAATAGTTGGATTACATGACAGCTAGTTAGTTTTGGGGTGAGAGTTTTTTACTTTTCCAAAACCAGTTTGTCTACCTCCGAACCTAATTTGACAAGGTATGATGAAAAGTACAGCGAATAGTTCTGTGAATAGTAATTAATTTAACAGGAAAAATATGCTTACACGGTTAGTGTCATTTTAGTGACTCTCCATCTCGCCAGTTACCAATTTTATGTCCTCTTAACGACTTATTAGCGGAATTATACTACTGCCACCCTCTGACGTTTTTACTTTTAAGAATAAGAACTTCCATACAAGTATCTCCATATTTTTCTCTAAATTCGAGTGAACCTTATTAACGAAAAATTTGATATTGATAATCTATTTATCATATAAGTATGTCCATACAAAACTACACAAGCGTGTACAAGTAAATACGCATTCAATAAAATTATGAATAACTAGAGCACGCGTATGCATAAATTGATATTTTTTTTTTGCTCATGTACTCAAATTTATGTACGCAATAATAATGTATACAAGCATTACAAGCTACTTAAAATATTCACTTGACTTCGCTTAAGGGTGACCAGATGAGTCGAAGGAAAAATCAGAACACTTGCAAGAGAGAAGCGCTCTATTCAGTTATAAGAGCTTGAGTGCCGCAAGCTGCAACGCCCGAAAAACCTGCTATTGAGCTTCAGCTTTAACATCTATATGTCACTATGTTGATACATATATGAACATCTAGCGATATGTTTACACGATAACAAGTTTACAAAAGGTCAGTTCTGTAAAAATCAGGACATTAGGCGGGAAAAGACGAATCAGTCAGGGCACTTTGATTCGACCCTGAAATCTGGACATGTCCTGATAAATCAGGGCATCTGGTCACCCTATTTCAGTTTAACCTTCTTACATTACGATATCATCAATCGCATGTTGACAACACATTTTTGCTTTCGTCCCGCCCACATTCTATTACAACGCCCTCATTCGTTTGAATGACAGCAAAACTGTAAGTAATAATTTCAGTTGTTATCATTCTTTTATATTTATTATTATTTGTATTATTTTTTGTTGTTATTATTTTTTCTTCCTATATGGAAACACACGAAAGTAACGCATAAATATATTCAATGTACTTTCACTTATTTCTATTCTACATTTTTATCACTCGGTTTTGTTAATCGCTTTTATTGGTGGTTGTAGCTAATTAGCACTTATGTGCCCAAATAAAACAAATCCTATATTCGTATGTCAATATGTCAACATGTCAAATTACTATTTAGTTAAACAGAAAATATGCGCTCAAAGTGCAGGAGTGTGGGTGAGAGTACGCCCAGCTGATTACTATTGTGCGGGAGGCAGGGCGTATGAGTGATGTGAAGGTACATACCTGATTTTTGTTCCATTTCTGCTAATTTAAATTATCTGAAGTTTTCTTTAAGCAAAATTGTCTATTCATAGTTCTTATCTTATGAATAAGAATAAATCAATATTTAATTATTTACAGTTATGCTGTTTTCAATTTACAAAGTCCAACAAATTTATAAAAATGTTACTCAACACGCATGAACAAACGCTAAATGCTATTTATGAAAGAGTATGTAGCGCTTACCAACTTTTCCGAAGACAGTACAGCCCAGAGGATCTGAGTTTTTTTTTTATGTTAAGGTTTTGACATTTTAGGCGAAAGTAAAAAAAAAAATTATATTGCATAAAACGACTTAAATTACAATTTATTACCTTTGACCTCAGTAAAATGTGGCGAGCATTTTTTTGTAGAACATTTTTGCGCTCTAACTCTACACGTAAATTATACTTTAGACACTTATTTTAAGGGGGCTTCATGTTACATAATAGAAAGTGACAGATACGGGGGTCAAAATGTGGAACAAAGATGTTGAGCAGAAAATTTTACTAGGCCTTTTCTAATCAGAAAAAATTATTCGACTCCATGCCGGCTACTACCACTAAAAATCTAAGCGGGTACAAATCCAGAAATAGTGCATAAATCGATTACTTATCTCTAAAGTGCCATATGCATATGAAATTATCAGGACATTTTTTTAAGAGTTTTTAACGCTTTAACCCGTTGAATTATGGGTCATTTTGACCCTTATTTTAGGAAGTTAGTTAACGCTAGAATCTTAACAAAAAATCGCAGACCCTCTAGACTAGCACTGTCTTCAGCAAAGTTGGTCAGGTTAGGTCTTTCATAACACCGTGCGACAAAAATCAAAAACTGTCGAAACACGCTATGAGACAAATATAGTAAAACAGCGTTCTTGGGTTTTCACTCTTACGTCAGGATTTTCTAAAGGGCTTTGTAGTCTCAACGATATGATTAATTCCAAAAATTATTTTAAAAAATTCAGTACTATGTATAATAACAATATGGACACCAAATCAAAGAGTGAAAACTAAAAAAAAAAATTTTTGGTTCACAAGGACGAAAAGGTATGTAATAAAAATTCCCTTTTAATAAATTTTACATTTTAAGCTAACAAGGTTTGAAGGACGAAACTCGCGGATGTGTTTGTGTGTA